GGAGCTTAGCATATGGGCCATCCGCCCCTCTTCCTTGTCTGTTATCATATGCAACGACAAGTTTATACAGATTAGTTGAGAGCTCTGATACTAATAAGATAGCCGGGTGAACGAAGCTACCACGAAGCAAACAGCAAGTCGACAACCTGAAAACTGTCCATTGGTTACACCTTGCATATCTCAGCCAGTTTTCCACCATAGTCGTAATCGTTAGTGCATGCTTCTGGCTACGAATAAATTAGAAATGTCAGTTTATTAACGGTTTCACAATATACTGTTTGAGGCTTACCCACCCCGAATAGATAATAGGATCCTTCAGATTCAGATTAGATAACCTCATCAACGCGAAAAACGCCTTCTAATGATTACCCATATATGCGTTATAATTCGTGGCAGTCGCAATACGCTTGATAATGGTTAGCGACTGCAGCAACCAAGTCAGGAAATCAGTTCTGTGTAAGAACACCATCCCTTCCCTAGCTCGAAGATACTGAACATAGGCCGTAACAAACGGTTTATATTCTACCCTTATATTCTCGTCATCATCCGGTAAGAATGTCGTCGTGTACCATTACGTTCACGGATAAAGCATCAAAAAAGTGAGTCTTCTTCTGATCGCTGGCCAAACATAGATACCATCAAGAAGTAGAACACAAGAAAATTAATCTTGTCAAAGATTTCGATATCTCGAACCCCACCTAAAAAGAATCCTCCATTTTGCTTCTAAGACTATTTGGAGGTGTGGCATCTGAAGCCGATTTAGTATTGAATACCCGAATCTGCAACACGTTGCAGTTACTTGGTGCTAACACTGCCCCTTCAACGGTTATCCCTTCAGCAAAGACTCCGCTTCCTATATGTATAGATATACTAATGTTAATCGTTTTGTTTTTCAAATTCAGCATTGTGGACGATGTATCTTATTTACGTTTTTTAGTATGCTGTGTCCCGCAAAGTCAAAGCACTTTTCTTATGTTCTGCTGAAACCATGTGTTCACTCTGCGGATTCTTCAGTTTCTGACCGGTTTTTCCAATGTAGCTCTCTGTTCAACCAGTTGATCCGATATATTATTTATCGTATTCTTTTCATTCGGTATGAAGCCTTTCTGATACAGAAGGCTTCCAAGCTTCTTTAAGCATCTGAAGTAGTTGCTCCGTACCTGGTCATGAAGTTTTTATGAAGATTCTTTGACTTAAGTTCTTTTGGTATGGGATGACTAGGAGAGTGCAGTTTAGATGTCTTCTCCATTTGATGTCGTTTTTTCTTAGTTTCGGATCCCTTTTAACTTCAGTCCACTTCGTTGAATTTTTCATGGATAACGGTTTTCAGACATTCTTTTCTCCCCCCAATTCGGTTACAACGTTACTGCTCTCCTGATGCAGTGAAAAGGTGTTCGAGTAATAGTTTTACATTTTGGAGGTACAATGTTTGAACCATTTCTGACTTTATGAATGTCAGAGAAAGCGGTGGAAATGAAAGCTGATGTATCATCTGATGTTGTTGGGTTTTTATACACAGTGGTTTTAGTGCACAGTTCCTCCTCTCCACTAGCACATCTAAGAATGGAAGTGTGCCCCGTATTCCAGTCCATGGGTGAACTCAAGGTTTTCATGGATAGATTTCAGATGTTCACGTAATACGTTCAGTTATTGCCCTTGCGGCCATAAAACACACGTATCATCCACTTCCATGTACTATGTCAGTCATTTTAGTTCCACTGACTTAAGCACTGAAGCGCTGGTTTTTCATTCGCCACAACGAGAGATATTAGAAATTGGGTTGAGCCCAAGCATATTCACGTGGCTTCTGGCGTATCCGCTCTGGTCCTGTCGATTAGGAGGGTGCTGTCGTTCCGGGTCAGTATTTTTTTCCCGGATCATTCTTAACGCATCTCCGGTGAAAATGGATACAATTCGAAACTATATATATTCCAATCTCCATCAGAACATCGTCTAGGAGATGATTTCGAGAAGAAGTTTGTACGAAGACGGTTCTAATATCACAGGTTCAGATTGTCGGACATAATTTCAAATATGTAGCTATTGCTGCGAGAAATGTCGGTTTCTCTACGAGGTTGGGAATTCCAGGAGATAGTTCGCCACTGTCAACTCATGGTCTAGTTAGAAGATGCGAAAAATCTCAAACTTTGCGAAAGAAATTCGACACCTTGATGCTGGAAAAGTACTCGGAGTTTTGAAATTCGCGTAGAAAATCGTTTTTGAACAACCAGGTAGTGAACTTGAGCAGCAAGAACT